ATAGGTATATTGCCCTTTTTAAGTAAATTGACTAGAAAAAGTATAAAAAGAGGGGGGTTTTTTGTGTTCGATTGTCACTGGAGACTTAATTCGGGGCTCGCTTTTACGAGTTGGATAACTGACGTGGCTTTTAGTGAGGATCGAGGGAATAAATGAATAGGATCGACGTCGTAGGTTGGTGTAGGCAAGTACCTAGTATTTCTGTGTTCTTAAGATTGCACGGGTGGAGTTGTGAGCTTTGGGACGCTGTTTCAAAATTAGTTGTTTTTGCATGTAGTTTGCCCTTGTTACCGGGATCGCATCGGGTGTTACGGATTTTACCGAAATGGAATCAGAAGACAGACCAGAGTTTGATCAGAAGTTACCGTAATTTGCTATTGTTGCTACTACATTAAATTAGGTACCCAATTATGGTTACACCGACACCAGGGGGAAACTTTCTAGACTATTAGCTATATTCGTTATTTTGACGTTAAAGGGAAATTTTTTTCATGCTCGTCTCGTAAGGATCCGAGACATCGAGTCAACTTACGCGCTTCTGCGGTGAAAAAAAATTTGGTTACTCACACACCGCCCTGCTTAAAGGGAAGCTAAGATAACCGGAGATTTTGCCCAGTCGTTTCCGTAATACAGTGTACAGTTTTAGCTTCTTCCCCCCCGGTCTGCTATACCTTTGTAGCGTTGGTTTACCGGGGGGGTCGTTCTCAAAAAAAAACGAAAACAGATTTTTCCAGTTTATAGTGAAACAAAACCCGCAGTTCAGAACTATGTCCCCATGAATACATATACAACATGAAACCTAACCGAATTTCAAAAAATCAGGATGATTTGGGTTACGTAGCGTTGCCATCAAACAAGTGATATGTCATAGTTCTCTCTCAGAAAAAACCTTTGCCTGTCACAGATATTGAAGTCGTCAAAAAATTTCGTACAAGTTAGACTTAAAAGAAAATTTTTATTTTTTTGTCACGATACAACTGCAAGGACTGAAAAGATGTAGGTTGAGTTTCCAAATAGTAATGAAACTCTTTTTTTTCTAATAATTAATTGGAAAATCTTCCCTTTCTATACCACGTTAAACAAGAACCCTTCAGGTAAAAGCTCGGACTTTGGACTTTTTGTCCCGAACCCCGAATTCTCCAAATTTTCTTTTTTACATATATGATGATTGTTAGTCACTGGTGTCAACGTTTAGAATGTATAGGTCTGACCCGTCTTTAAGTTGAAAAAAAATGAACAGGTATGGCCCCCCGACGGAGTGAGGTAGGACAGTATGATTCACCCGAATCGCGGTCCCATGGACCCAGAGAGACAGGGGAAACCGGAAATGATGCGAAGAAATTAAATCTAAAGGAAATTTGAACAAATTTGGTATAGGGCTACGTCACTCGTCGTCACTCGCTGGGTACGAGAGACCTCTAGTCTCAGCCTGTGGTGTATCACACCATCTTCGACGACGGGTGAGAACATCGATAGGGTCTCTGTGGGGACTACTTCTTGTGTCGTCACTGTACAAATTGTCTGAAATCCCTTACTTATCTTTCTCTTTATTACAGAATTACTGCTTCGAGAATTCCCGCGCGCGCGCCCGGTTATTGGACGTCCCGGCTCGACACGAGTCCGCCTGTAGTAGGAGGTGTGGTGGGACCACTCACCACCCCCACTCCACCCGGGGGCGTCTGGCGTGTTTGGCAATTCGATGTTACTTGTTTTTCGTGTCTTTATACGCACTGAAAAATGACTATATTTCCGAGAAATACGAAATTCGACAGTTCTTTTACAAAAGTTTTTTCATTCAAAAACCCGTATTCCTTATTGTTACACTAAAAGAG